GTGCATATGCATAAAGTTTTCCAAAAATGTTATGCATAACTTTTTTTTATATCAATTGTTAGAGAGAAATCATTTTCATTTAAACCACATGCATAAACATTCAAATTTAGGTCAAAAATTTAAAATTTGTAAAATCAAAGTATTTGAAAAGTTGATATTAATTGTTAGAGAGATATCATTTGCATTTAAAACCAATTTTGACCAAAATTCATTATGATGAACTAAAATCATTAAAACTTTAAAATGTTCATCACAATTTCCTCTTAACATTCATGAGATTAGAATAAAACATAATTTTAAAATCAAAATTCATGTATGCATAAATTCAAATGAGCAACCAAATAACCAAAATCAAAAGCATTAAGCTTAAAGGTTACCCATTCATTTTTCATTGTGTGTCTAGAGCATTTGAATATCTTCACTTTCATCACAATTGCTCCCACACGCCTACAAGAGAAATTTAAGTATATTTTGGTATCCAAATTGCTTTGGATCCTTGAACATTAGTTTTCATTCCCTTTGTTCCCTCGGGAACCCATACTTGTCTAATTTTAAAAGATTTTATTTTCTTTATAGAACAAGTATGTTCCAAATGACCATGAAAATGACAATGTGAGCATTTTTCCATTTTTAACCATAATGTGTTGTTTTTAGAAATTAATTTTTTTTCTTTTGTTAAGCTTTCAAGCTTAAATTTAAAATCAAAATTTTCCTTTTCTAAAACATTGATTTTGACTTTTAAAAGCTCTAAATTATTTTGCAAAATTTCATTTTGATTTTCAAAATCAACTTTTGCTTTCAAAACCAAATTATTTTCATTTTTAAGTTTTGAAATTAATTTCTTATATTTGGAATTCATGGTCTCATATCCCAAATACAACACATTGTAAGCATCTTGTAACTCATCAAATGAATATGAATTTAATTCATTTGAGTTAGAAGATACCTCGGATTCTTCTTTGTTGGTCATGAGGCATAGGTTGACTATTTCTTCATTATCATTGGAGTCATCTTCATCACTCCAAGCTGCAACAAATACATTCTTCTTAGATGATTTCTTCTTTATTAGAAAGGGACAATCATACTTGACATGCCCCGTTATTTGACAATTGAAGCACACCGGGGGACTCTTCTTTTTGGTTGATTCATGCTTCACTTCCTTGGAAGCCATGAATCTTTTTAACTCTTTGAAGAGCTTGGCTATCTCATCTTCTTGTTCATCATCGTCTTCATCTATCTCATCACTTGAATCTTGATAACTTTCATTGGTGGATTTGAAGGCAATGTCTATCTCCTTCTTTTTCTTGTTTTTCTTCTCTTCACCTTATTCCTCTTCCTTCACCATCAACTCATGAGTGAGAAGAAAACCAATTAGCTCATCGAGGGTGAGAGACTTTAGGTCTCTAGCTTCGATAATGACCATCTTTTTTTATTGCCATGACTTAGAAAGAAAGTAGATCATTTTCCTCACAAGCTTTTCATTAGGTATTACTTCTCCAAATCCCTTAAGACCGTTGACAATCATGGAAATCTATCTGTTATAGCTTTGATGTCCTCATTGGGTTTCATCTTGAAGTTCTCGTAGCTATGGTTGAGAAGACTTATCTTTGTTTCCTTCACTTTATTGGTTCCTTCATGAGTGATTTGGAGCTTATCCCAAATCTCTTTGGCAATGAAACAAGATGAGATTCTTCCATATTCATCTAGGCCTAAAGCACAAAAGAGAATGTGCATAGTCTTAGCATTATTCTGGAACTTTTTCTTCTCTTCATTACTCCAATCATCCCAATCATTTATCTCACCGGGTGGAATTGAGTAACCCTTCATGATTGAGTTCCAAGCTCCTAGATCGTTGGCTCGAATAAAGAACATCATCTTATTCTTCCAATGGGTATAATTTGCTCCATTGAAGAAGGGTGGCTTGTTGACTGGTTGTGAATCTACAATAGGTGAATCTTCAATGTAATAGGCATTGGAGGTTGAAGCCATTTCTTTGTCGGTTGTATTAGGAATCGGTAGAGCTTCTTCGAGGATCGTCTCAAGGATGTGAAGCCTTCTAGCGAGTCAAGCTCTATACCAATTATTGGGATTTGTAGAAGTTAGAATCGACAACTGAAAGAGTTCGCCGAGAAGGGTCGGGTCGGTTTTTATATTTAGGGAGTAAGGAGATTGAAAGATAGAAAATTGCACAGCGATTTATAGTGGTTCGACTTCTCAACCAAGTCTACATCCACTACCTTAGCTCCTCACAAGGATTTTCCAATAAATTCACTAATTTATTCATTCTTTTTACATGATAAAGAGATAACCTTTACAAACTCCCAAGCTTTTCACGGGCTAAACTATAACCTTTCCCTAGCTTTTCACGGGCTCAGCTAGAACCAAAATCCCTTTACAACGAAAGGAAATGTAAACAAGAAAAACACTCTAAGGTAGATGTTTACAAGAATTAAGCTCACATGAACGAAATATTTACAAGAGAAAGATGAAATAAGATTGAAAAACTCTTCTCTTGTGTTTGATTGCTTGGATAGTTGTTCTCTTACTTCTTCAAGTGTTCTCAGCTTATTTTTATAGTTTGAAATGAGTTTGAAGTAGTATATAGCAATTGGGGATATTTTGGAGCCGTTGGAGATTAAGTTTCTACAAAATAAGATTGTCTAGAACTAGAAGTATCGGTACTCCACTATGGGATATCGGTACTACCTTTGTTAAATTCAAATTAACTAGCCCTTGGAGCCTTGTAGTATCGATACTGTCTTAAGGGTATCAGTACTACTTTGCATTATAGTATAGATACCCTTTCATGGTATCGGTACCATTTTTGCATTCTAGAATCTGAGCCTTCATGATAGTATCGATACTACCTTGATGGTATCGGTACTACCTTTACCTATGGTATCGATACTCCAAGAACAATATCGGTACTTGTTCATGTGGTATCGATACTACAAGAAGCAGTATCGGTATTTCTTTGTATTTTTGCTCAATTCCACTTTAAAATAAACTTTGAATTATTTTTGAAATCTTTTAAAACTTTGAATAAATTCAATTCAAGTCCAAAAATATTTTACCTTAATTTATTATATCGAAACATAATTCTACACTAACATTCTGATGGACCGACGAACATATAATAATCATAATTTTAATAGCTCTGATACCTTAATGAATGAAAATAGAGGACAATAGTAACTTTAAATGACCCAAGAAATGCAACAGACAACTTTTGAAGAAGCTTGAATCTAAAGTGAGAAATTAGAAACTAAAGAAAATAAATCACTTAATTAGAATGTAGGTCATCATAAGATTTTCTATCTGTCCCAGTAAAAACTGTGCTTTTTATATCCCAACATGCAAACTAACTAGACTGATGCTTAAAGTCCAATCAATTAGTATAAGCGGCATAACTTCCTAACTAATCATCAACAACTTTAACCACCTCAAAAATATCAACAGTCAAGCTAACTTCAATTTCATTTCTACTCTCGACCAAACTTCAACATGTTTCATTCAAATCAATTGGCAAGCCACATCGAACAAACCCCAAAAATGACATCATGAACCCATTTATTGGAACCAGAAGACCGATTGATACCTCAAGAACGTCGGGTTTCTTCGATGACGGATCATCGAAAAAGTTCATTTCTTTAATAAACCCAGTGTGCAGAAACTCACTCATGGCTGCTAAACGATGATAATGAGCTGAAGCTAAAGGTCGATGGTAAGAGGCAAGGTTGAGATCCAATCATCCAGAGAGAGGGGTGATAGCGGTGAAGAAATGATGACGTTGTGGTGGAGAAGTTGATTTTAGCTTTGGAACAACGAAGGGATTGGGCGTTGTCGTCGTAAGCGAGTGCAAATTCTTCTGGTGTGTCAAATCTACCAAACCAAACATTTGTTTGCTTTTATGGATCGCGTATTTCAACAGCGTATCTTCCACATGGTCTCTTCCTTACTCCCCTATATCCTTCTCTTGAAGACGTCATAAGAGGGCCAAGAAAAAAATGAAGTTTTTGGTTATGGAATTAGTAAACAAAGAGAATAGATAAGCCTGAGATATTAATAACCCTTTCCCTAACACTTTTGATTATTACCCGTATCATTACTGTCTTTACTTTTGTGTGTTTTTATTTCCTCTCTGTTTGTGATCTTTTGCCACTGGGTCTTTATCACCCTTTTATTTTGTATTTTATCATTTTATTAGTGAAATAAAACACAACCGATACTTATAAAAATAATAATCAATTAATGTATAAGATACTTATAAAACATGTGTAGACGTGCTGAACCCACCCAAAACCCTAAAACATTACACTTAACACGTGTCCAACACGTGGTATTGATGCTAAAACCTGTCACTCAATTACGCTGCCACCTTCCGCTGGTTATGGAATTAGTAAACAAAGAGAATAGATAAGCCTGAGATATTAATAACCCTTTCCCTAACACTTTTGATTATTACCCGTATCATTACTGTCTTTACTTTTGTGTGTTTTTATTTCCTCTCTGTTTGTGATCTTTTGCCACTGGGTCTTTATCACCCTTTTATTTTGTATTTTATCATTTTATTAGTGAAATAAAACACAACCAATACTTATAAAAATAATAATCAATTAATGTATAAGATACTTATAAAACATGTGTAGACGTGCTGAACCCACCCAAAACCCTAAAACATTATACTTAACATGTGTCCAACACGTGGTATTGATGCTAAAACCTGTCACCACCCACCCAAAACCCTAAAACATTACACTTAACACGTGTCCAACACGTGGTATTGATGCTAAAACCTGTCACTCAATTACGCTGCCACCTTCCACTGCTCCGCCTCCATATAGTTGGTATTTGCACGGCTAAGATTTAGGAGGAGGAGGAGGAGGAAGAAGAAGAAGAAGAAGAAGAAGAAGAAGAAGAAGAAGAAGAAGAAGAAGTGATAAAAGCTATATATACTCAAAGCAGACACTGTTGGCAAGGAGAAACTTAAAGACTCATTGATAGGTAAGACTGCCATGTTTCAGATTTCGAAAGAGTTCCCTAAAACCCTTTCTCTTCGATCCTCCATCAAAGTTTCACGAATCTGCTTCACCGTCGCCGCCGCCGCCAAACGCCCTGAGGTAAAGAATCAGTTTGACGTTGTCATGGCTTGATGATTTTCAGGGAAGAGATCATGCATATGAAAGTAGGAACCCGAAAGCTGAGTTTTCTTACAGGGTGGATGATACCTCGTCCGATGAGGATGCCACCGATGAAGCCATGGAAAGAACCAAAGATTACGCACACGACGCCAAGGAGAAGACAAAAGAAACTGCCGGGAAGGCGGCGGATAAAGCGAAAGAAATGACGGACAGAGCGGCGGAGACTGCCCGAAGTGCCAACGAGAAAACGAGACAGAAAGCTAGTGAGTACGCGCAGGATACAAAGGAGACTGCCCAATGCACGAAAGATAAGGCCAAAGAAGGCACCGAGAAGGCTTCTCAAACTGCGTACGAATGGAAAGAGAAATCTAAGGAGGGAGCACAGGGTGTGATGGAGAAGACCGAGGAGGTTGCTGGTTCCGTGGCTGATAAGGCATCGAAGACTATGCATAATGTTAGCGAGAAGGCTAAGCAAACGGCCCAAGGAGCTTGGGACGCCGCCAAGGGGACGGGTCAGAAGATAAAGGACACGGTGGTCGAGAACAACGAGGAGGGGAAGATGGATGAAGATGTTGTGGATTTCAGGAGGCGTGTTGAGAGACGAGGTGATGAGAGGAAGTATTGAAATGGAGTTCGATGTTTTTTCTTTTTCTTTTGCTAAATGTCTGTATTATACAATAATAATGAGTTTGATGTTGGTCTAATGGTTGATGTTATGTTTGTTAGGGGCACTAAAAAATTAAAATTAAAAGTTCAATCTCTTTAAAATACTCTTAGTCTTTTGACAATAACATTTATATCCTTTGCATGAGTCTTTTTTTGTAAATCGTCTTCAAGGATCTAAAGAGATAATGATTCGTACGATTCATGTTTTGACGAACTTGTCTCTCTAAAAGAGAAGAACTGTTGGGTGAGTGGGTCTACTGGACGGCCTGTTGTGGCCAATGGAAAACAAAAATATTCGAAGGCTCTTTAGGCTATTTCCCCAAATCTAGATGATAGCCCAAAGTGACTACCAAGTGTTTGGACCACAGTTTACCTCCTTTTGAAGGATAGTGTCTTCTTCTCGAGAGAGATTGTCTTCTTTCAAGTCATACTCTGTTATTTAAACATTGTTCTTTAGTACTGGTGTCAGGATTAGGGTAAATTTATTCATAAGTTAGTTGAAAGGATAAACTTATTTGATTCAATCAGTTGTCAATCATTTTGATAGATTACATTCAGATCTTATGTTAAAAGATTGTGATTTTTGACAGGGTAAGACTTTTGAGTTCCCAACGTCTTATATATAGAGATCTTCCGGAGGAGTTATTCGGATATTTGAAGAGGTATAACAACACTAATAGCAAACCAACAAGCTCTAATGAATGGTGGAGGGGTGGGGTCCCTTAGTACAGAAGCCTGACAGCAACGTGAACCAAACTTGGCGCATGGTTGAATTGACTGAACCACAGCTCACACCATGACCTCGTACAACTAGCAATGGTGTTTGGGGGGGTTGGGGGGGGGACCAACCTTACACCATAATGTACGAGACGAGGTGGTCCTGTTTTCTCGACCATGGAAATTGTAGCAGACCGGGGCACGAGGCTTTTAGCCTACCCTTCCCACTTATCTGCAACCCAGTTGGCTGCCTAAACACCAATTTGATATGACAGAGAGAGAGAGAGAGAGAGGCAGTTATAAGGACATTATTTATGATGACACTTGAGGGGGCCCCGTCTTGAAGGACCATTTGCAAAGGATTGTTTAACCCTTTCGCCTTTCAATCAACGCAACTTTACATGTTTGCCAGCAAACTGTCCCCATTTCAGGAAAAAGGACAGTCCATAATTTTCAATCTATTGTACGTGTACATTGTTAAATGACCAAGAAAACTAGTTAGGAAAGTGTGTAAAACTCATTTAATTTTGCATTGTAGGGATACAAAAGAGACCAATTCAAAGAGCAACAACAACTTACATGCGCAAATCTGTCATTGCCATTCTTTTTTCTTTCGGTTTAACGTTTTTTGAAAACGTGATGAATTTCCTGCTACGTGGTAGGACCAAAAACCAGCTGCCTTTGAAATTTTGTAAGAGAATTAGAAAAAAGGGTTGAAATTTTGGATTTAATTTCTTTATCTTTTTGGTGTAAATTATGGATATCTCTACCAACTTATATAACAATCCAAGTACATATTAATCCTGTTGAGATGTGAAAGATTACAAGAGTAATAGAAACTATTTTTTTTTAAATTTTAATTTGACACAAAATTGTTGTCCTAGACTCTAATCGCTAGTCATAATATGCCTATTATTTTAAGAATTTAGTCGATATATAAATTTATTATTAATTGAATTGAATATAATTATGATTGTGTAGTCGGATAATACCAAATAAAATTTATACCGCCACTTTAGCAGCTACAAATAATCGTATTACGATCGTTTGATCGAACAATGCTAACCTCTTTTATTTTTATTTTTTTTCATTCATAAGATTCGAAACGAATTCAACTCAGCAGGTGGTATGTACAAGTACGATTTGAGCTAAATTTATTCCATAGAGCTTTTCAACCGTTGAACTAATGGTGACAGGGACAGTAATGGAACTTTATGGCCCTCATACATGATTCTCTCCTCTTTTAACCTTCCTTATCTCTCTAGAGTGTCTTTTTCCTTGTTCTTCTCCATTGTTGTCTCTCCGTATAAATATAATCCATCTCTGCTTTCTCCTTTGAAGCAAGACCCAGAAATGGCAACGAGCAAAACCCAAGGCAAGAGGAGGCTGACGGCGGAGGAGGAAGAAGAAGATCAAGAAGAAGACGAAGATAGCACCACGGGAGACGACGAAAAGAAGAAGAGAGGCAAGAGAGGATACTCCGGCGGTGGCTCAACCCTGCCCGGCTGCCAGGTCCGAGACTGCACCGCCGACATGACTGACGCTAAGCCGTACCATCGGCGACATAAGGTGTGCGAATTCCATGCCAAGGCTCCCCTGGTCCCAGTTGCTGGGATCCACCAACGCTTTTGCCAACAATGTAGCAGGTTTGAGTTTTGTATGAACCCTAAACTCTTCATTATTATGCAATCGTTTTGTGTTTCTAAGTTTCATGTTTGGTGTTTGAATTGAATCTGTGTCTTCACCTTCATTATTTTTGTATTCGATTTATACGATTATATGTTAAAGGATACGAATTTAAAATTCATATTTAAATTTAAAAATTATAAAATCTCACAAATATATAACTAAATCATCATTAAAAAAATAAAAGATATTAAAAATATGCCTGAGATTAAAATTTTTAAAAAACACGATCACTTCTAACATCCAGAACCTATTGATGCATCCCTCTCAACAGGACTCCCCCTATTACCAAAGTATTTTAATAAGTAAAAGATTTTTTCTTCAAAATTTGTAAATTGAGCCATACCATAGTTAGACAACAGATCATTCATCTAATTTTGTGATCATCTATCTATTCTATTGTGGGTGAATCATTAATGGTCTTTTAATTAAATTCCATTGTCTATCGATGCAAATCAGGTACTTTGAAAGGCCATTTATCAAGGAAGATGATTCATTTCATTGGGGTTGACTAAACTCATGAAATTATTATTTTTCTGATAAACCATATATTCGATCACCTAATTATTTATGTAGTATTGTTATGATTAATCAATTACGTTTTTTTCAAAAACATATTTAATGTCACATTTTGATTTCATTTTAATCACCTACTATTAAAAAAATAATAACATTAATGTGTCACCGTAATATAATATCACGTCATCATTGATAATATTAAAAAATGATCACATCAGTATTTCTGATAATTTTTTATCGATTTGTCACCCATTCTTAATAATGACATCTTGTCATCCCTTCTCCACTGCCATTGCGAACGTGCGTGCCTCTGTTATATCCAATATATTAAATGTGATATCTTATTGAAGAAAGTCGTCGGTTATCATTCTTTAAAAGTGATTAATTATTTATACAAATTTGTTCTTGTTAAGATTAACCCAAACTTAATGATATCTTAAAAATGATTACTATGATAGAGCAGGTTTCATGAAATATCAGAGTTCGATGAAACAAAAAGGAGTTGTCGAAGGCGTTTGGCTGGCCACAATGAGCGACGCCGGAAAAGCTCCTCGGAATATCATGGCGAAGGCTCAAATTATTAAACTAGCTACAATTCAAGCTTAAGATATTTACTATGAAACCTATATATAGATAGGCCTTTTCCAATGCTCATCTAAAAGTCGATTTTAGATGTAAAACTATATAGTTGCTAAGCATGCTCTCTCTCTTCTGTCAATCTTAATTATGCACCTTTTTATTGCTTCCTTGTGGGTTTCTTTTGGTCGTTTAATGTTTTTCTTGCATGTTTTGTATAAAATAATAGATTATTATTATTATGATTTATGTAAAGATTATTAAAGATATATAAATGACATTTTTTCTCATAAAAACTTCAATTTGAAATGTTCAAGAAAGTTTAAGGCATCAAATAATATTTAGAAGCATAAATCTTCGATGCATATTTAATTTGAAAACAGTTGTGATGGTCAATCAAAAGTGCATCTAGCAGGAGCAAATCTCAACTTTTGATTCCAGATATCGAACTCCCAGTAATGATTTTGTTGTAAGATATTGCCGATTATGGAACCTGCAAGCGGATCAAACCTGATAAACCCAAGGCACTTCATCCCAATCTGTTCGTCGATCACATAACTTTTCACTGGTGGCTCGAACTTAGCTCCATCGGCGAAATGGATCGCTAGTCTAGGCACCATAGTCTCCTTGAACCCCGTAGAATTGAAACAATGTCCTGGCGTCTGACCAGGCCAATTTCTTGTCAATTTCGGGAATCTGCTTATAGAGGGAAAGAGACCTTCCATGACTTTGTCATACGCCGGTGCGGCGAGGACTGTTAATGATGTACCTGTGTCTAAGATCATTCCACCTTGTCTAGTACGAGGATCGTATAACCACACATCTGATGGGATATCAAGCATTTTACCGTCGAGTGAGATGCCGCTGACATTTACATGATAATTTGTGCTCCAGTACCATGCACCGAGGAGCAGCTCCGTCTCTTGAATGTTCAGGAGTTGATTATCTTCGTTGCCGAAGACAAGATAGCTGGACAGATTACTTGGACTCAAATGATCCACCAAGCAGTAGCAAAATTTCTTCTCAGACTCCTTGACTGCTTGCCCAGTGAAAGACTGAACAATGCAACCTAATCCTAATAAACCGTCGAGTTTGAAGGTTTGTGAGATTAAAGACTCGGAACACCCGATGGTCATATTCTCCAGTTTTACCTTTTTGTGGCCTCTCATCTTGATTGTAATGGTGTCGTTGACGAAGGTTCCGCTCACCCTTTGGCCATCTACGTACTCGGTACTATACCTGCATGCAGAATCTGGCGTAGGGCAATCTGTCAAAGAGTTAAAAGGCATGAGCTCGGTACTGCAATAGCTTGAGGAGCATGGGATGGGCCTATAGGTACGTGATTCATTAGGATGATAAAACCTCATTTTCTTCTTCTTCCTCTTCTTACCACCTATGCGACAATTACTGCATTTATTTCTGCATTTGATCCATGTAAGATCGCTTCCTGTATCCACCAACATCAAAAACTTCTTTGGTGGGCTTCCGATTCTCATGGAAATGAAATATTGGCCTGCCCCTAAATCCGCCGCCGACCGCATTGCAAGCTCCACCAGACCGTGCTTTGGGCTCATCTGCTCGAAAGTCTTCCGCCCTGGCCGTTTCAGCATCCGTTGAAAGGCTCGATATCTGGCATAGTCGCTACGCACCAGCTGTTTTATGCGTTGCCTCCCATCGATTGGTGGTCCGAGGGTGGCTTTTGGATGGCCTCCTAGCTCAGGTGAATGCCTGTGGATCAGCTTGTACTTGTACTTGCCTTTGGATTTGGTTTTTGAACCATCCACCTCAAACAAGAAACTGACATTCAACATGATGAACCATATAAGGAGAATAAGACTCTTTGTCCTCTCCATCCTTGTATGGCCCGAAACCAAACATCCGGATGCCGGTACTACAAACAATTATTCACCATCTAAATACAAAAACATGATTATATATTAAGATATGCAGACCCCGCTGTCCATACACTTGGCTTTTCTGTTTATAACTCATGGCCGCCCGTTTATGTCTCGTGTTTTCATACTAATTAAAAATATTTATACCAACATGAATCAAATAATAACCATAAATATATATGTGTATAGATTTATCTTCTATCACTCAATTATAATGATATATTTTAATTGACAATCTTTCATTTGTGCAGGATCAGTGTAACAGAATACTAGAATGCAACAATCTACTGAAAGAAAGAAGCAACAACTGAAATTATGCAAGATGAGAGCTAGGGATTTTGACTTTAAAGGAATTGTTGACTAAAAGAACAAAACTGATGAATATTGTTATTTCATATGGCCAAGTATTTGAATTTCCCACATCGGTAAGTTGTTCAAATTCCTTTCTTTTTTTGTTGCAAATGATGTTCCTTTTACCATGTTTAAATGGGGTTGTTCCTGTTAAAACTGCAAATGTCACGACAAAGATTTAATTTTCATGTTTAATTGAGGTTTGCTGAGTAATGTCATTGAAGCTGATTCACTTTAGATCTTAGCTTAGCATGACAAGGTGCGTTTAGCATTGCTTTTGGCTATCCGAAAGCAACACTATTTAGGTTTCTACCATGGCTTTTGAATGTTGTAAAAACAATGCTACAAAAGGCTTTTGTCCACCGTTCTCACTGATGTCATTGGGAAATGGCTGCCAGGTCCGAGGGTGATTATTTATGGGGTAGCAACGGTGATGCTTAGACCTGCTGCACCTGGTACTGGAGTGATCGTCGGAGGTGCGGTGCAAATTGTTCTTGAAATGGCGACTGTCGAGAATACATTGGGGAAGCGACTCGGCAGTAAAAATGCACTCAACAATGCCAGAGCAACGATTGTTGCTGTGTAGAATATGAAGCAATTTTATGAGGTTGCTCAAGAACGAGGTATTCCCATGGAAGAGCTGTGGAAACGATGGTACAGGAAACAGCCCCACCGTATACCATCATCCTTTTGCCAATGTACATTCTCTAGACGAGGCTTTTGGTAACCAAGAACAAGACCCAAACATTTCTGTAATGGATACTAAGCCTTTGTATTAGAAAATTTCGTTTTTCCTTTTCATGTGTTCTTTCATCTTTGGTTATCTAATAAAAGTTTTGACTCTCAAAAGTGGATTGAGATTATCGAAGAAGAGTACAATTCTATTCAAGATGATAAAATTTGAAAATTTGTCTCATTACCTTAAGGTGTAAAATTGATTGGTTATAAATTGATATTTAGAATCGAGATGGATGAAGATTATAATGTTGAAAGGTATAATACATGTCTTGTATCTAAAGAATATACTTAAAAATAATGTATTAATTTTATAGAGTCTCTCTAGCTTCATTGAAAGATTTTATATAATGAGTTTATTTGAAATGATATTATTTTAAGTAATAAAAATTAAGGTTAATTATAATAATAAAAATATACTTAATATTTATTGTCTTATAAATTCATCACGTTTTTAGTATTTTATAAATTTTTATGTTTTATAGATTTTTTTTAAAAAGTTATTCAAGTATTATTATAATTTTGGAAAAAAAATTAAAATTAGAAAGTTTTGAGGGTAAATTAGATATAAAATCATTGTTCAATGACTTATTTGATGATTTAAATGTAGTTTAGGGGTAAAATTAAATATTTACTTTTTTATCGTTATCACGCTATCAATTTAATGGGATGTGTGGAATGTCATTTTGTTACAAATAGATAACTTTAGTGATAATTTTGTTACAAATCGATAATGTTAGTGATAATTTATTATTTTAAAACTTTAGTGAGAAAAAAATGAAAACTTACTTAAATAATAGTGACTATTTGCATAGTTTACCCTTATTTTTTTGACAAAACTATGCTGGTGATCTTTATATTTTCTATCTGACCAATTTTGGTCATTGGTTTAGAAAGGGCTTAAAGGTTACTGTTGCCCTTATAGTAGACCAAATTTATTGATTTTGTCTCTATCGTATTTTCACATTAATTTAGTCATCGAAATTGTTTAATTTAACGTAACATTTATTAAAAAGAAAAATTTAATATTAACTAATCTGTTACATGTAAATCACACTTCTTCCCCAAAAAAAAATTCCTTTCCTAATCCCTTCACCTAGAAAATGAACGAAGAGACCAAACAAATTTCTAAAATCAAACCTCAACCCAAAAATCACGATCGAATACACTCCCAAAATGCCACGGATAAATCCCTCAGCGTCCGAATGAAAGAAGAGGTCGTCGTTGAAGCGTTTAAGCCCCTCGAGGAGCTGTTGTACGAGGATTCCTCACCGGTTGCAATCTAGAAACAACCGACCGTTGTCCTCGCCGGAGATGAAAACCAGAGTCGAAGTTGTCGAACAGGTGTTTCATCTGCAAAAAGGTGGGGTTGACTGGGTCTTCTCTCTATATCTATTATTTTCATTTGTCGTCCTTTCCGTTACTTTTAAGTTGCGATGTCCAATTGATGATTTTCCAGTGGTTATTATTATTTTCCTCTTTTTGGAGTGTTTAGTGGTGTGAAAATTAAATGAAACATCTGTGGTGGAAAGAACTGAATTCTTTGGCATTTACTCTTTACCAGTTTTATTTTGCTCACAGATGCATGTGTCTACGCTGCTATTTTTTTTATCCCGTTTGTGACTATGAATTGTCAAACACTAAACCTTCGGGGCTTGACTTGCCGGATAGCATCTAGTGCTTTGAGAGGATTTATTATTATGAATTGATTCTCATGATTCGGTTCGGATTATGTTTATATTTCTGAAAATCAGTGAATCATATCGTTTTATACCCAGATTTAGAGGATTTATTATTATGAATTGATTCTCATGATTCGGTTCGGATTATGTTTATATTTCTGAAAATCAGTGAATCATATCGTATTATACCCAGATTTAGACGGCGATCCCCCCCCACCCGGTTTCAAAAGTGTGTTATCTTTTTTTTTTAATGAATCTTTGTGAAACTGTTATCGCTTGTTATATAACCTTTATGGGGTTAAGGTTTGATTTACGTGAAATAGTTAGTTAACATTAAAAAAAAAATTAATTATCACGTCATCAACTAGACACGTCAGCAATATTATCTAACGTGGAAACAATTACATCTACATAAGCAAAAACTACATGTTTTGTTAGTCTTAATGATCAACGGTATAAAATGATAAAATTAAACAACTTCGAATGTTAAATTGATGCAAAAATATAATAGGGGCAAAATCGATAAATTTAGTCTACTACAAGGGCAACAATAACCTTTAAGCCTTTAAAAAAAGAGTGGTT